AGACTGGAGGTAATCCTGCCTTCTCGACCTGAAAATAGTCTTTCCAACATCTCTTCCCCCCTTTTTCATTTTACAACACTTTTCCTTTCAGATACCATTCTGCACAGGACTTTCTACATATTTTATATTTGTCTTTCCTTTTCATCACACTTAAACTTGTCCTCGATCCTCCACAGTTTTATTTTTACTCCCATTTCATCTAATTTAATTCATCTTTATTTTTCCCTTTCTCCTCCTGTTCTGCATCCTTCTCAGTGAAAGGGAATTACTTTAGGAAGCAAGTGAGGCTGGGCTCACATGGCATGAAGGGCAAAGGCGCACAAAGGGAGCGAGGTTGGAGTAAAGGAAAGAATTGATTTTCCAGTCGGAGAGGCCATGCAATGAAGGACCAAGTCTACCCTCGGGGCTCTGGCTCGTTATGGGAAAGGCCAGCCAGTGACCTTAAGACTCAACTGATCACATTTTTCTATTCACAGATAAAGGCTTCTATTGGTTTTTATTGGAGTATTTATTCAGAGGAAAGGTTTGGAGCTGACAGATCAGAAAGGTGTCTGGGATCATTTTGGCTTTGTGAGAGTGTGTTACAGGGTATTATGTGTGTGTATACATGTGGGTACGTTGCTGTTTATGTGAGCCTAACCCTGTTTGCCCTTCACACGGAGCACAGCACAGCATCCCCTCTGGCAATTCAGCAGCGCGGTAGAGATGGACGGAGAGAGAGGCATGTCTAAACATACTCACACCAACAGTCCCATTGCCTGGCTGGCAGCCATGACAGATGGGGGAGTTCAGCTCACGGGGGTTGCCATGGAAACCAGCATCAGTGGTAGTCTGAGCTTTTCCACTCTAAGCGGAGATGGAGAGCTGCACACACACTCTGCAGAGGAGTGCAGCGTGGGCAGCAGAAGCCTTTCGCTTGTTGTTTATGACTTCTTCTGCTTGTTGTTGTTGTGCAACAAGTTGGCGTTATCGGTTTACATTTCAGGGACAGAGATGGGAGGCAGTAATTGCGGATAATGAATTTGTTTATGCCACGATCGGTAATTGTGCCACTGAAGAAAGTGTGACAAGACAAGCACTTGACTGAACAGAGAGATGCATATTTATTTAACACACTTTCAGCGTCCTGTCGCCAGCCCTCCTGTCTACATTTCCATCTTTCCCTCGACCAGAGAGCAATTATCACTCTCATCTTCTCGTTCCCCTCCTCACATTTGCATCACCTCGGATTTCTCTCTCGCTTTCTGCTAACAGCAACCACACGATTTATGCCGTTTTCTTCTCACTCTTTGATTCCCGTCATCGATCCTGTTTAAGAGCA